GGTGGAGTGGGCATGCTCTCCCATTGGGCAGTCAAGTCCTCGGGAAGCATAAGGCAAGCGAACAGCTTCCACAATCCAGTGAGACAGCCTCTGTTTCGACAGCTTCAGCGAAGCAGATGAACAGCTGCTCTGAAGTTAGAAACCCAGCTAGCAGGAGGGAGCGTTCTCAGAACTTTGGCTAACATTCCATACAGGTTTGGTGGATGTTTTAGAGCAAACATTTGAATGTAATGCTCAAAAAATGTTTTAAGAATGTTTCTCATTTCAGATAATGTTCCTATAATGTTAAGTGCAAACAAAGCTAGAACATTTTGTTGTAGGTAAAATGTTTTGAGGATGTTGTTGAGGTAACAGTTTATACAATGTTCTCAATAAAACATTGGCACAAAGTTTCAAGATAACAAAGAAAGAACATTCTCTCAGCCACATTAGGAGAACGTTATAAGAACATCACTGAGGCCTGAGGTGGTGTAATGTTTTTTATAAAAAGTTTTGGAATGTTCTTGGGTTTACAAAGCACCACTTAAAAAAAAGATGGTTCTTTAAAGGTTCTTTACACGTAGAAACAGCTCTTTTTAGAACCGTATCCTCCTGAAGAACCTTTTATATGCTGAGACGGTTCTTTGCTTTAGAGTTTAGGGTTCTTTTTTCCCGCCTTTTTGTTTTCCAAATCTGTAACCGTCAAAGCCGCATCATTACTGGTTTTCTGGAGCTCAAGACAGACTTTGAACACACTCTTAAGAGGTAAATGATTAATTTCTTACAATTTCTATAAATTGTACCTTTCAAATGGTAACTAGTTTCATGCCAATCATGTCTTTTTCTCTTTTTAGTGTAACAGAAAATGCATGTGACCAGCTTTGTTCAGTTAAGGATGCTTACTTTCTCTTCACTAAGTAGGCCTAACAGAAATGTTGAAATAATGATCCATGATTGAATTATTTTTTTTTACGTTATGCATAAACACCCAGTCATAAATAACATTAAAGTTATCCCATGACCTTATATCTCTTTTTCTTTTAACATTATAAAGGGCTCACATACTGTCCATTTTTTCTAATTGTTTTACATAAATAACTGCACACATTATAGCTCTAAACTCAACTGTGTTTGAGAAGCGGTCACATCCTACCACCTCATCATCAGCAATGAGAAACATAAAGATGGACATAAAGACATTGTGAAGATATTTCACTTGAACTTGGTCTTCATTAATTCCATATCATGTTCAGTGTCAACTGATATTTATTAATGTTTTCAGCTAATAGCAGTTGTTTGAGCCCTGTCATTTTTCCTACACTTTGCCATGTCAATAAAAAAATAATAAATGTACATAATTGACATATGCTGTTTGTTTGTTTATTTGTTTATTTATGTAAAACCTAAATAGAAGCCACAAGATATTATAAAATCAGATAGAGTGGTTAAAATTAATATTAATAAATCATATATCAAATAATATTAATACAAATATTAATAATTTAAAGACATTTACTGATATTAATTGAAAATAAATTGTGACACCAGGTCCTATAAACTTGTCAAAGCACAGTTCTTTATGGAACCTTATTAAAAAAGGGTTCTATATAGAACCAAAAAGGGTTCTGCTATTGTTAAAAGTAGAAGTACCCAATTTGGTACTGTTTAGAACATTTTACGGGGAACATTTTGAGGATGTTGTTGAGAAAACAGATTATACAATGTTCGCAATAAAATATTAGCACAATGTTCCATAATAATAGAGGAAGAACATTCTCTCAGCCACATTAGGAAAATGTTATGAGGATATCACTGAGGCCTTTCTTGTAATGTGATGTGTTAACAAAGCTGGAACATTACACATGCAACATTTTGAGCATGTTTTGAGGATGTTGTTAAGATAAAAGGTTGCACAATGATCATTTATAAAACATTGGCACGATGTTCCATAATAACAGAGGAACATTATCAAAGCAACATTCGTAAAATGTTTTGAGGACATTACGAGGACTAAGATGACAAAATGTTTTTAATAAAACATTCCTGTTAAGTGATGTTTTAACAAAAGTAGAACATTTTGCCTGAAACATTTTGAGGATGTTTTGGGGATGTTGAACAGAATGTAGAGTGATCTTTTATAAATCATTGGCACAATAACAAAGGAGTCAAAACAACATTCGTTATTAGCTTGCATACAAATTATGTTTGATAAAAGGGAGTTATTTCACAAAGGTACAGTATATGTGTTACATGTGCACATTTTTAAAATACGTTGTGACTGTAGTCTAAGTGTGAGAGAGGGGGTACCTGACCCTGACAGTAATGGTTATAATGGTATTTGTAGTGGAAACCATTAAACATTTCTGTGTGTTTGTTTGTTTCAGCAGGGAATTGTTTAGGTAAGATTGCAGAACGCTCTTTAACATATAAAATACTGGCACAATGTTCATTAAAAATAAAGGAGGAACATGATCAAAACAACATTTGTAAAATGTTTTCAGGATATTATTCGAGATATCAATGAAGTTTGGGCCAAATCTGTGTTGTATTTGGCCCTGTGCCCTGCTCACTCCAAAGTCTCCACTGCAAGGGCTCTGCCCTTCGAAGGGAGTAGGGCACAGGGTTGATCACTTCATTTGGAATTTATCCCGTGAACCGTTCGGTACGAACACATGATGTACTATTTTTTATGTATTTGTATTCTTTCTGTTTACACTGTTGTATGCTCCTCTGTCAAGTTAAATAGACTCAAATAGTTATAGTAATCCAACTTACACATAAGTTCACTTTTTACAGAGTAAGAGTTAAGACCTTGGTTGAAATTCATAGTTCTGACCCGCGTATCCAGAAACTTTAAGAAGAAAGGAAAGTACAGAGGATGCTATGGATACTCCTTTTACATTACGAGAAATTAAACGTGCAATAGATAAAGCATCCAGCAAACCCAGTGAACGACAGGCCTAGTGCTCGAACGGATGACTGTAGAAAGAATGACATTTTAAATGTAAAGTAAAGGACTTTTATCCCCTTATCAGAGTGGTTTTTGGAAAGGACGGGGGACAATGGACCCTGTAGTTTGCTTGGAAACAGAAATTAAATAACTAATTAACAAAGAATCAGTAATGGCAATATGTTTAGATGTAGAAAAAGCTTACGATATGATATGGAAAGAGGGGTTATTGATTAAATAAGATAAAATTGGATTAAAAGCTTTTTATTTGAAAGGTATACTCAGGTTAAATATAAGCACTACATCAGGTACATCAGTGTCTAGTAAAGTTAGAGTAGATAATGGCACTCCACAGGGTAGTGTGATAAACCCTTTACTTTTCTATTATGATTAATGATGTGTTTTGTAAGATAAATATGATATTGGGAAATGATTGTTTGCTGATGATGCTGCTCTTTGGAAGAATGGCAAGAATGTATCATGAATTCAAGGAAAGATGCAAGAAGCAGAAAGATGGATTGAAGAATGGTCTTATTCCTGGGGTTTTACATTTACAGTTGAAAAGACAAAGATGATCGTCTTTACTTAGAAAAAGGTTAAGGATGCTAAAATATTGATGTATGGAAAGCAAATAGAACAGGTGAACACCTTTCGGTTTTTAGGGGTCATATTTGACTCTAAACTAACCTGGAATGGACATGTTAAAAAGAAGATTTTAAATATAACGAGGTGTTTAACTGGGTCTGAATGGGGTGCTAGCTATATGTTGCTTTAATCAGACGGGTGTGTAGTGTATAGATCAGCTTCGAAAACATCATTAAAAAACTTGAGGTTATTGAAAATCAAGCACTGAGGAGTTGCTGTGGGGCCATAAAGAGCTCTCCAGCTTGTGCTACTCAAGTAGAGATGGGTAAATTACCCGTAAACCCCAGATTTAAGCAGCTGACGATGAATTATTGGGCAAACCTAAAAGGACATAATGAAGGAAGACACCCTGCTGTACAGTATTTAAACCCGAGTTGGGAAAGTACGAAGGAAAAGGGAGACTGCTTTGCTTGGTCATCAAGTCAAATGGCAATATAAATGGGATTCCAAGAGACAAAGTACGGTTCCTTATCCAGTCACAACACCTTGGATGTGTCCTCCTCTAATTATAGACTTGGATGTAAGAGCTAAAGAGACTTAAAGGGAAGGAAAACTGGGCAGAAATAGGACATGACAGATTGAGATCTATATATAAACCTTGTATAGCAGTATTCACTGATGGATCAAAGGGGCCTAAGAGCGGACCTACAGGTTTCTTCCAGATTTGAAGATCATCTAACAGTGTTTTCTGTTGAAGTCTGAGCTGTCTGAATGGAATAAACTTAGCAGAGTTGTGATGTGTTCAGGTAGCTTAACACTGATGTGATGACAGTCTTTATCATCTCAGAACAGACCGCATATTGTTTCTGAAATATAAGAAACGTTGTTCAGACTGAAGTCAGATTAATGTGGATTCCAGCTCCGGGGGACTGAGGAGAACAAAGCTGCACAGAATCATGGAAATAGCATTTAGTAAAGCTGAAAGCTGGCAAAAACAATGGGATGAAGGGAATAAAGGACATCATTTATACAATATTAGACAAGACGTAGGGAAAATGAAGTTAATAGGAAGAAATACAAGAGAACGTGTCATTATTTGAAGGTTAAGATTGGGGCATAGCCTGCTGGGTTAAATAAAAGAATGCATTTATTGAAAAAACATCCATCAGGGATGTGTGATTGTGGAATGGAAGAGGAATGTGAGTAGTCAATGTTTCTAAATAAAAGATGAATTGAAGAAATATGGAGTGAAAATATTAAATCTTAAGAATTTATTTGAGAACAGATAAATAAAGTTTTGTTTAATTTGTAGAAAGAAACTTGTTTAATTAAGAGAATTCAACTATAAGTAGTAGCTATAATCGTAACTATCATAAATATATATATTTATTGAGTAATATCCATTTCTGGCCCACACTCCAGTACAGCAGGTGGCGGATATGCAGCTTAAACGTTAGATGCCGCCCGCCATTAAGAGGAAGAAGAAGAAGAAGAAGAAGAAGAAGAGATTCGGCTGAAGAAAGGTCTGTGTTTTTAAGTATTTAAACTGCTTAAACTGATAGAAACCCTTCAGTCAATTTTATAGGTTTTAATCGATGCAACATTAATCATTCGCGGTTGAATGTAACACTACAGTGCTTTATCTAACATCAGTAGTCGTTATTTTGTGTGAGTAAAAGGCCTCTGCAGCGAGTCAATGCAATCAAATGATTCAGACCTGTTTTGGTTCGCTTGCAAACTGCGAAGCGTTTCTTCTTCTTTTAGCTGTTGAGCTGTTTTACACTCCAAAGTCAAATTCAGTCAAATTCTTTTAGTATTAATATCATTCGATCTTTCTCTGAAGCCTCGGGCTTATATTTAAATTGATCAAAGTGTGAACTATTTAGTGTTTGTGATACTCCACACATCGTATACCTGTTGAAGGCTGTGTCAAGTACCTGGGGATCTCCTCACTGAAGATAGATTCTTCACCTAAAATAACAAGAGCTAGAATAACCTTGAAGTGTTGTCTTCAGCGAGCTCTGATGTCTAAAGCTCAGGGGTTGTCTCGTTGTGTTTATTCTGCTTTGTCTTTATTTGTTAGTGACTAAAGTGCTGATGATATACATAATGCTACTGGATTTTATTTGAAGGAATAAGTCCCATAAAATCAGGAACTCTGTTTAGTCTAACAGGCTTCTGAGGGTGTGGAAGAAGTTTTGGATTTCAAAGAATTAGTTGGTTAAAAATGTCTCTGTAGTAATGATTCAACTTGGTACTATATCCCCAATGCTATATTTCGTAGATTTTCTTTTAAAATGCAATTCCACCCCTTCTAAATTACAGATTTATCTCTCTAATTCTCACCAACAGGCTTTACGTGCTTGGAAACTGTGTTATTAGCACAACTTTTCAACCCACAAAGAACTTCTTTGGAATAATTCAGATATTTTAATCTGTGGAAAATCTTTATTTATTGACAAGTGGTAAGACAGAGGTATTGTTTTTGTTTTGTATTTATTTAGAAATGGTGGTATTATACTGGAGTATGAAGAATAGTCTTCCTCTGCCAGTCAGTTCTGTCATCAAAAGTTTGTCTCCAAGTTATGTGCATTGATTTAAAACATACCTTTGCTGTAATGAGAGAAAAACTATTTTGCCCAAACTTTTATGGGATGGAGTTTGTCTTCTTGATAGAGAATGTAACAGCAGATATATAAAGAGAGTGTTACATTATTCAGTTTATACATCCCTTAGATGTACATTTGTCTGGATCAATTTATTGGATAGCATTCATTGGAAGAAAGCATGAAAAATGAAAAATGTGTATTTCTAATAAAATAAGAGAGGTACATTTTAAGATTTTGCATAATGTCTATTAAACCAACTCAGTCAAACTCAGTTTTTGATCTCTCTAAATTGTGTTTTCTGCAAAGTTAACGATAAAACTTTACTTAATTTATTCTATCATTGCAATCAGGTTAAATCTCTTTGGGAGGACTTAAGTTGTTATTTATTTCTGCTGAAAGATACATTCTGTGTTTTTCTGGCATTGACCATGCTATTGATCTTGTTGTTAATTTCTTTGTGTTGCATTGTAGATTTTTATTCACAAAAACAAATTTCTCAAGATGTTACCTAGATTTGATGTCTTTCTTACTGAGATGTTACTCATTGCTAAATCTCTTAAACTCATTCATAACCATACGAATACAGCGAGAGCAACTATTACAAACCAGCTGCAAATGTTTTCATGCAAGTGTAATTTATTATAATCTACAAATGCTGAATTACCATATATAAACCACAACTAAATATTAAACGTCCGTATAATTGGTACTCTTTTATGAATTTGTAGTGCTAGTTGTGAGTGTTTTTGTCTAATCTGGTGATTTAACTATCAATCTGACAGACTCCCTTACTAGTGTGCTGACTACTGAACTAGGGAGCTGATCGAGATGCACCCAGAGATTTATTTTGCTTTCTGTTCATTATTCTCTTCATCTTAAACACACAGAAACACTCCCGCTGAAGCGACTGAGATCCTCGTGACACACTGTGGTGAAGATGGCGCTTGTTAAAGAGGAGAGTGAAGACTTCAGGATTGAAGAAGTGTTCAGTCTGAAAGACACTGAGGAACAAGCAGGTTGGTTTCATTCTCAAAGCTCAACTCACTCATTTGATCCAGCTCTACGGACATGAATGATATTTCTGAAGAATGTGATACGAGTGTCGTAATTTAAGTGGTTTTATTTGACATGGAGCCTCATGTGGACAGACATGTTGAGATCACATGACCAGACAAATACTAAGTGCACTTGAGAAGATCCCACTTCAGTGTTGGACATTTGTTATTTTGACGTCACCCAACAAATCAGAATAAATAACAGAAATCCAGAGTTCTGGCATGAAACTCTAGATGGCGCAGTCCGATAGGTCTAACTCAATCTGACCTGATGACATCATTATCACATGGCACAGCTGATTGGTTCTCTCCTGTATCGGTAGCCAATGAGCTCGCTGCTCAACATTCAAATACTTGACTGGTGTGTTATGTGCAGCAGCAGTATTTCTTACATGCTCACAACAGCATGTTGTGGATGTATTGGCAGTAGCAAGTCTCAGTACTTGCTCTGCCGCAGCAGCAGCGTAGCCGATCTATTCCGCCAAGACCAAATACATTAACATTGTCATGTACATTACCATGCCAATCCCTCGGAGAGCTGTCATGACAGAAATAGCAGAAGTAGCCTAAACAAAACAATTATTTTATGTAAAATTAAACCTAGGGATGCATGTATCGGCTGCCGATATTTATTGGCCGATTTTTCCTCAATTTACATTATAGTTTATTAATTAACTGCGTGAAGGCACTGAGCTGTATGATGTCTGTTGCATAATCCTAGTGCTGCTGTCTGCACTTTAAAGGGGTCATATGATGCGATTTCAATTTTTCCTTTCTTTTTGGAGTGTTACAAGCTCTTGGTGCATAAAGAAGATCTGTAAAGTTGCAAACACTAAAGTCCGCTTCACTCTAGCCCGGCCTCAGCTCACTCTAGCCCGGCCTCAGCTCACTCTAGCCCGGCCTCAGCGCACTCAGAGCTACATGACAACTTATAAAATTCACAAAATAAAGGACACACATACTGTATATATTCTAGTGTATGTGGGTGTGTAAATGTATTAATTGTGGGCTTATGTTGGTATATTTGTCTCCATGATAACTTTTCAAAGATATTTATCAGACGTTTGTACACACTATTCCAGACCTGCCAACCTGTACGCATTTTGCGTAGCGGATACGCATTTTGACCTCAAAGTACGCTGGTACGATTTGTCACTCTAAACTACACAAAAAAAGAACAAAAAAGAACATTATAACATTCTTTTACTGCACAACATCAGACAATTATTTTAAATAATTTCCCTCTTGATCTGATGTGGCTTCTTATAACAGAATGACGCAGAAATAAATTCTACACTGGAATAATGGCAATTAGCAGTGGATTATAAATATAACGTTACTTGATTATTAAAATACTCGAGGTGTTTTTAAGAACACAGATAAACATTGTACAGTGTTTATTATCTTAATGTTCTTTTTGAATGTCATCATTCAAAGCGTTTCTGTCTTCTTTCATTCAGTTACAGTGATAGCTGGCCGTTTTTGTCCATATTAGGGATTTCCTGGAGCGTCCTGAGATCTATTTCTTCTGTAATGTATATGTGGATTTTCTGCGCGAGGGCGCCCTCAGGCGTCCAGTGTGAATGAAACACACATTACATGTGTTCATAGCACTAAATAATGGCCAATCCATAAAAATAATACTACTTTTTTTAAATAGCATTTAAAAATAGCAAAAAAGAACTAAACCAAAAACTGTGGTAAAAAAACGGAGGTATTTATTGAACCGTGGGCTAACTGTATTGTTGCATCCCTACTTTTTACTCTAAAACACTGTATAACAGGAATATCCTATACAAATATTTAAAATTAAATCTATAATATATATAAAAAATATAGCAGGTCTGCTATTCAGATTATACACTTTTTAACATATATTTTGAAGACATGTGCTGCCTTATTCCACAGTTTATTTGAAATTCATGGATCACCATTTTTTGAATACACAAAATAATGATCTTTAAAAAAGCATAATATGACCCCTTTAAGACTCTCTCCGATAAATCCAAGCATCGCAGAGTTATGCAAATCATATTATGCACACCCATCTCATTAAACGGTGAGTAATATATAAAAAAATATTCGATAGGTTGCATACAAATAATGTGTTTGATAAAAGGGAGTTATTTTACAAAGGTATGTTACATGTGCACATTTTTAAAATACTTTGTGACTAGTGTGTGAGAGGGGGTACGCAGAAGGACGTTAAATGTATTTATATTTTCGTAAATTCAAGGCATTAATGTTTGCCTACAAAACCACCACTAGCTCTGCACCCATTTACCTAAATTCATTACTTCAGAGTTATGTGCCTCTAGAAGCTTCACCCTCTAACTCTAGCACTTTCTATTCTATTTTAATTCTACTTTATCTATTTATCATCATCTTCTTTTAAAAAAAAAAAACAAAACAAAAAAACTAGCAGCTTTCTATTTTTTCTACTCCATCTACTTTTTTTTCCTTTGTGTGTGTGTATGTGTGTGTATTTTATTTATATATATATATATATATATATATA